GACCGGACAGCTGAACGACCTTCTGGATGTCATTCCGTACGTCCTTTTAGACAAAGCAACAGCAGTGGGGGCCGAAGCAGAGGTGGTTAGGGATGATCAGGCAGGCAGGCGAGCAGTTAGGGGCGATCAGGCAGGCAGGTGAGTGGTTAGGGGCGATCAGGCAAGCAGGCAGAGGTGGTTAGGGGTGATCAGGCAGGCAGATGAGCAGTTAGGGGTGATCAGGCAGGCAGGTAGAGTGGTTAGGGGCGATCAGGCAGGCAGATGAGCAGTTAGGGGTGATCAGGCAGGCAGTCAAGTGGTTAGGGGCGATCAGGCAGGCAGGCAGGCGAGCAGTTAGGGCAGTGGTCGGCAAACTGCGGCCCCTTGAGTGTGGCTCTTCCACAAAATACCACATGCAGGCGCGCATGTACAGTGCGATTGAAACTTCGTGGCCACACTTAAAGGGCCAAAGAGCTGCATATGGCTCGCGAGCCGCAGTTTGCCGACCACGGGGTTAGGGGCAATCAGGGAGGCAGGCGAGCGGTTAGGAGCCAGCTGTCCTGGATTGCAAGAGGGATGTCCGACTGCCAGTTTAGGCCCGATCACTGAGGGGTCCCGGATTACGAGAGGGTGCTGGCCGAGCTGAGGACCTCCCCCCCCCCACCCCCACCGCCCCATGCGTGAATTTCGTGCACTGGGCCTCTAGTCCTATATAATATCCTGTATACTAAAAGCCTAATATGCTGAGTGGCCGGTCAGCCATTCAACCAATCAAAGCGTAATATGCTAATGATATGCTAAGGCTGCTCAGCCACTCGCTATGACATGCACTGACCACCAGGGGGGCAGACAGTCAACCAGTAGGTTAGCTTGCTGCTGGGGTCCGGCCAATCGGGACTGAGTGAGATGGGCCGGACACGCCCTGTAGCCTTCCCGTGGTTCCTCCCCAGCCCCGATTGTGCACCGGTGGGGTCCCTTGGCCTGGCCTGTGCCCTCTCACAATCCAGGACCCCTCGGGGGATGTTGGAGAGCCAGTTTGGGCCTGATCCCGCAGGCCAGGCTGAGGGACCCACCCTGTCAAAGAAGGGAAGGTTCAGCCCTTCTGGCCCCTAGGGCCCTGTGGGAAGTGTCAGGATGAAGAGGGGACCCAGAGGGTATGTGATTGAGAGGTGGTGACAGTCATTTCTTCTCTGATCAGTCCCATTGAACTCTCTCCACAGCCTTCCTCACGCTCACTTTGGCCATATTTAGTGAAGCACCAGGAGGATTTGTGCACTGGCTGGATAAATGCCCTGAGCACCCAGCTGCTTTCACTGCCTCTTAGGCAGCCACTAACATTTAAAAGGGGGAGAATAGCCCTAGCTGGGTTGACTGGTGGATAGAGCATCGGCCTGTGGACTGAAGGGTCCCAGGTTCGATTCCAGCCAAGGGCACGTGCCCGGGTGTGGGCTCCATCCCCATTATGGGGCTTGCTGGAGGCAGCCAATCAATGATTCCCATTCTCATCAGTGATGTTTCTATCTCTCCCTCTCCCTTCCTCTCTGAAATAAATAAAAATATATTTTTAAAAAATAAAAGGGGGAGAATAGCTCCATACTTTAAGAAATAGTTTTTCTTTTCAATCATAGTCACAGAAACACTGTTCTGAGACCTATAGAAATTCTCTTTTACCTACAAGGTCTTTATTGGCTTAAATTTTCTAATTACTGTATATTCATAGTCTCTTAAACCCCTTAGGGACTTTACCAAGTGAGAAAAAGAAACATTGGCTACATGGAATCCTGATTGGAATTCTGAAAAATGAGAGTTCCGTGAATACTGCTTGAAAATGGAATAGAATGAGGGTGGAGGTTTGCTTGCCTTCTCTCTGGTCCCTGTTTGGTGCCCCAGGTCCCCTCCTCAGGGGTCCATCCTTAGGTCATCTCAGCCATGCGCTCTGCCCATTGAATCCTAGATGCGTGTTCTGGACAAGCTGATGGTCGAGCGACTCTCGGCCGAGAGGACAGAGTGCCTGAGCCGCCTGCAGCAGCACTCGGACACAGAGAAGCTTGAGGGCGAGAAACGCCAGGTGAAAACCAGTACCTGTCAGTCCTTACCTGGTGGTTTACCACACTTCTTGGAATTAAAAGACGGAGGCCTATCATTGAAGGCTCAGAGGCTGGGGTCCCCTAAAGGGGTTTGCAGCACATAGCACGTCATTTGCATCACTTTGCGATGAAATCAATAGGAAAGGACCTGCCTTTCAGTTCGTGTTTGTTGCTGAATATGCCGGCAACAGGTGGGGACTGAAAAGTTCCTAGAACATGCTGGGGGAACTATGACGTCTGCCCCGAAGCATGTCTGTGTGTGGTGTGTTCATTGGGCCATTCCTCTATTGAACAAGATCTGGTTCCTGCCCTCAGCGTGTGTGGTCTACTCGGGACAATAGACCTAAAATGAGCACTTGTGGTGTCTGAGAGCCCGTGCTCCTAAGCAGGCAGAACTGCTTAGTTGGGAAGACGTGGGAAGCTTTGGGTGTTTGAGTTGAAGGTGGCTCTAAGTCACGTAATGAGGATTGTAGACACTGTCCGCCTGGGTGTTGGGTGAATCCTGGTCTATAGAGGGTAAGCAAAGAGGTTGTGTGTGGCCTGTGGGAGGGGGTTATCCACAGGTTTGGGGCTTGTCGAGATGGTATTCCCAACTATCATAGTTTAAAAGTCCATTCTTGCTGCTTTATTCATTAACCATGGATTAAATTCACCTGAGTATTTTGTGGGTGCTTTTCAGATGTCCTTGGTGGATGAATTAAAAACCTGGTGCATGTTGAAGATCCAGAATCTGGAACTGAAGCTTACGGGAGACTCTAGGGCTAAATCCACGCCATCTACTTGCGAGTCCTCCACAGGTAACCCTCATGCAGAGAGAGAGCCCTTCCACCCAAAGGTGATGAAAACCCCTAAATCTTGTTCTCTCCTGCATCCTAAGGCGGCCCATAGGATAGGGCTGTGGAAAACTGGATTGCAGAGCAACTGTAGGGGCAAGGACAGGCTTTCTCACTGCTGTATACCAGGTCCTGTGCAGCAGTAAAGCTCTCTCATCTAAGTGGTCAGCATATTGGAATGAAGGAATAAAAGAATTGTTTTGATCATTGATAGCAAGTGCTTCAGGTACAGTGTTGATGGTGTAGAGTGGACCCCGTCCTGACGGGTGATGAATGGACATCTGTCTCAGCAGCTGCCCTGGTACCTCTTCCCCCTCTTCTCCTCTGTGATTGGCCTTTTACCTTCGTCCAACTCTGTGAAACCTTGTTGAGTGCACATCATGTATTGAAGCTGCCTCAGGTGCTAGGTCAGAGATGCTTCTGCAAAGCATTGTTACATTGGCCACAGAGATTACCCACAGTGATAGCTTTAAGGACATTCAGAGACTTAGAAATTAGGCTTCCAGGGGGGTTTTGGTATGTTGAGTGTCTTATGTTACCACAGACCATCTCTGGGACTGTGGTTTTATCTTCTTTATGCTCATGACAATGGCGAAAATCCTTGGCAGATTTTTCATGCGAGGACTAGTTCTGGAGCTTGGCGTGGAGCTCTGAGAACGGGGGATAGGACCGCCTTTCCCAATTGGAGCTTCGCTCAGGGAACCAGTACCTGGGGCTGTGGTGTGGAAAGGGATACTCATTCTCATTGGTAAATGCCCAGGTATGTTTTGAGATACTTGGTGAGCTGTGCCATCCTTGGCCGTCAGGAAATGGTGCCCGGAGCCTTCCAGAGTGGGTTGAGGCAGGCTAAAGGAAAGGCCAGCACCTTTTTTGGCTTAGATGCCACCAGCATGGCTAACACAGTATCCATGAAAGCCTTGACAAGCCAGATGGTCATCAGGAGAGACGGGGCAGGAAGGGCAGAGCAGCAGCTGCACACTGGTTGGTGGGTGGGAAGGCTGGTGGTCTGCAGGGTTCTCAGGGCTCCCAAAGGCCGACCTACAGCCATGTGACTGTGCCTGTGGCTTTGCTCTGACTTGTGTTTTCCTTCCCAAACCAGCTGTGGATCCATCAGTGGTGACGGCAGGTCCAGTTGCAGCTTCTGACAGTTCCCCTCGGGTGGTCAGGCCCAAGGAAAAGGGACTCGGCTCCACGGCCGCCCACAGGCTCCAGCAGGAGCTGTCCTCCTCCGACTGCACAGGCTCCCGACTGAGGAGCGTCAAGGTCCAGACAGCCTTGCTGCCCTTACAAGAGGCAGCCAGATGTGATCAGCAGGCCGGGCCCTGTGTCCACAGAGGCACCCAAACCAAGAAGTCTGGCAAAAGTGGGCAGACGAGGCATCGAGCCCAGCCACCAGCACCCAGCACCACCTGCGGGCAGCCACCACCAGCTACCGGCAGCGAGCAGACTGCCTCTCACATTCGAGACACCTCCCAAGCTCTGGAGATCACCCAGTATTTTTTTGAGGCTGTTGCTACCCAGATGGAGAAGTGGTATGAAAGAAAGATTGAAGAAGCACGAAGCCAAGCCAGTCAGAAAGCCCAGCAAGACAAGGCCACCCTGAAGGAACATATCAAAAGTTTAGAAGAGGAACTTGCTAAACTAAGGACGAAGGTGCAGAAGGAAAATTAGGGCCTGGGAAGTGGCTCAAGAAAGGATCCTTGAGGATCTCTGGTATAGCGACTGCAGAATAGCTGTGCCCCAAGTGTCAATTAGAGTGCACATAGCAGACTTGCCTTTAAAAAACATCACTAGTTTCTAAAATGTGCCAGACACACACACGTTTCCTATGCCCTGAAGTTATGAAGACGTCAACAATTAAACTGAAACCAGGGAAAGCTTGTTTAGTTTCAGGTTTCATTACAAACTTAAAACCTCAGCCCAGGTTCATCTGAAGTTCAAAAGCTCAGATTAAGCGAACCACCTAGATACTCAATGATGTGTAAACCTAAACCCTAAAATTCAGGATGTACAAAATAATAAAAATCAAAAGCAAGAAAAAAAAGTTAATCCCCTGTGAACTTAAATCAAGTCATCATTCATGTAAACACACCTGCTGTGCCTAGACAAGAGTATTTTTCCGTCAGAGCTGTAAAGGAGATGCGCTAACGCCTCCCTCAAATGCAGAATTCTCAGAGTGCTGACACTCTAACCAGGTGAAATTTATCACACAGAGTCTGAGGGGAAAGGGATTTTCATAATGTCACAAGATCCGGTATAACTGAAAAGAAAATGTTTTAAAAAGTCAGAGTGTGTTTAAAAAATGAGTCATTGGATAATAGCACTGGGAATGTTTGTTAATAATGAACACAGATGAGAAAGATTCAAACCATTTGATCACAGTTTCTATATTTTCAGTCAAAATATAGAAATACTATATTTTCAGTGAATCCTTGTGATTTTAAAGCAGATTAAGGGGCGCGGGGGGGGGGGGGGGAGTCACGTAACAATTACCTGAAACATCAATAACCTATTGATAATCCAACCCATTTACCTTAGAGTACCTTCCTGAATTTGAGTTTATGCATCTGTATTTTATAAAGAAACGAGGCTATTTCTTGCAAGTATTTCATTTTTAATTGAGTTCTGTCATTAAAACACCCCAAAAGCTTTCGCACTGCTTCGCAGTGACTGTGCTGAGTTAGACCCCTGCATTCTCCAGCCTCCGGGGTCCTGAGGGTTTTGCTCTGCTCTATAGAATATACACAGTTACAAAAGTAGCTCCGTGTGTTGAATCTTTCAATTTAATCATCTTCAGACTTCTTGTCCCTTGGAATGTGGGATTATATTCATCTCCTCAAAATTCCATGTATGCATAGAAACCTCAGTTCTATTTCTATAAACACAGGAACTGAGTAACTATTGTCTGTAATTTTGAATAAAATGTTGCTTATTGAGCCAAAGAGAAAAGAATGACTTCTTGACATGGAAATACTCAAAAAAAAACAAGGTATGTTTTTAGCCCCTTTGTGGGGTTTTTGCCTTCCACACTCACCGTTGTTTTTGTTTTTCTTAATAGTGACAGTATGGATATTAACATTCCTCATAAATGTAGACGAATGGCAGCTTTACCGAACCTGGGTAGGGAATTCATGTGATGCTCTCAAGCTTCTTTTCACGCTCCTGAGCTTGTCTTGTTCCTCAGCTGCTGTGGAGGTAGACGGTCTTCCCAGAGACGCTCTGGATTGCTACTTGTGGAGGTGCTTCCTCTTTTCGCGTTCCTGGTGCAGAATCACAGCGCCGGGTGGTAGCGCTAGGTGGCACCTTCGGACCATAGTGTGCTTTGGTGGGAAGTATTTTGATTATGTACCTCCTGCCCACCAGGAGCAGGCAGCTTCTTATTGTGAGCTGGCTATTTCCATCCAAGCCGCAGTTAGGGACGAGACTAGGGAGGAATGAGAAAGGTCGAATGTACCTCGTCTGCAGAGAACACAGATCTTGTTTCTCAAAGATGGGAAAACCTGTAATAGAGGCTGGGAGACGGAACAGGCCATCAGCCTCCTAACCCAGAGATAGATGGCAGCCTCTCAAAACAAAGCAGTAGCTCTGATCACACCTGCGTTTGGTCTGTTTTTGTTCCTTACTGTCAAAAAACTCAGCTGTGGGTCCGATGTGGTTTTTCTTATTTTTACCTTGTGCTATCTACTAAAATGAGCAAATGCCACAACAGTACTTTTCCAAAGAAGCAGAACTATTAACTATTTATAGCTGGTCATGTAGGTCGTGTTTCAGACTGAGGCTGGAACCTTCAGTGGCTGTGGGGAAAGTGATGTAAAATAAAAGTTATGCAGTATTGCAGTGTTGCTGTTTTTTGTTGTTGTTAGTGCATTATTGCATTTGAGTGTAGTAATATTTGTGATAGACTGAATATCGGTTCTAATCTTACCTTTGACTTTGGGAGCCCAAAATAAAGGAAGTTATCTTTTCACGTTATACCCTCTTTTTTCAGTCAAGCATTGATGCTTGAGAGGTATGTGGTCTTCTATTTAACATTTTTATCACCTTGAATTTCTGTTACTTCCAAGCATGAGACTTGGTTCTCAACATTATGGATACGAAACTCCTTATTTAAAACATGAAAGTGTGAATATTTAGCCTACATTTTCATTTGTGTAGCTAACCAAATTTTATGATTCCTGAAAGAGTGCCTTCACTCAACCACACTTCACCATGTTTCCATAAAAGTGTAGTTTAAACACATCTGCTTTAAAGTAGAGATCAGGTGGACTGCATGAAAAAAATATTTTTAAAAAGCCTGTTGTAACATGGAAAGATTTCTCAGTGTAAGCTTAAACAAATGTTTTATTTAAACTGTTGACCTTTTGGAAAATACTGAACAAAGAAGAAGGATAACATTACTTGTCATTTTATGCAGACAAAGATAACATTTTTTTTTTTACTAACAAATAATTCCTAAAAGCTAAATATAATTCATCTTGTGATATAAAAGCCAATCAAGATTTAAAGGACAAGCCAGTTTTAAAAAGCTAATGACATTTTTAGAATACATCTTATGAATAAGAAAAAACATTAAAAATGTATTTTGTTATGTTTTTAAAGGGAAATATGCGTTTCCTATATAGTAAGTCAAATATGACTATAAATGTGAATATATTAATTTAAATTAACACAAAAGCAAGACACAGTACAGCAAAGCATTTTTTTAAATACAAAATAGAGTGGGTAAAGTGATTCACTCTTCTCAGTAAACAAATAATTAACTTAATTCTAGTATAATTTCTCAACTGCCTGACTCAAGGAAGGAAGTAGCTCAAGGTGATTTCTAGTTTGGCACAGAGTGACAATTTGCTTTTTATTCTGTTTGGATCTTATTCTACATAATCCTAATTTTGTTTTCAAAGTAGATGTGAGCAGCTTCCTTTTGTTTTTATTTTACTAGCATTTTCCTTCCTTCATAAAAGAGAGATAATTTAGGTAAGTATGGGTCTCTGCCTCTCAGCTCTCCTGTGTCTGTTGGCATGACTGCAGTGATACCTATACCAGGAAATACATTCTGCTGTCCTCAACCTTTAAAGTCCTGTGACTCTGCAGGCACTTCATAGCATTGCCGTGCCAAGAGTTTAACATTTCCAACCTGACACACTTAAAAGGGGGCAGTGACACCGGGCAGTCAATATGCTAAATAAGAAATAGCCTTAGCCACTTCTCATATGCTAGAAAGCTTTTGTATTAAAATTTTTTAATATAAAGATTTATTCTTCAAATACATAAACTGAACAAACTTCTTAAAATTAAACGCTAGGAACAAGACTTGCACATTCAAACAAGAGTGTAGTTTACAGGGAACATACCCAGGAAGGTAACTTGTCTTTATCAGAATACTGATAAAGATGATGAATAAAATGTACTTCACCAGCAGTTCTGTTCTGGCCAACATCTTTCTTAATGACCATCATTTCATATGTGAGGAGAAATTGCTAAATAAATCTTAGGCTAAACAACAGACTTGACCTATAATTCAGGGGGAATATTCAAAGCATGTAAGTGAACTAAAAAAATTAAACTGTTCTGTAGAAATGAAAGTAAAAGCTTGTCAGTTATAATAATCTTAGCTTCTGGAAGGTAAGAATTAAGTTTTGTGTTTTACCCATTTTAAAAAACAAACTACAGGTTTGGTTTTCTTGAAGTCTTTGGTATTTGCATCTTGCAAATTCAAACCACAAATGCTCTTACATCTTCCATATACACCACTGCTGGGAAGAACAGGGAGTCACTGACTTCCTCACAACTTCAACGGATGGTTTTTAGCTTTGAGATTTTAGTTTTTCTAGGGACAGCCTATACTTGAGTATGTATGTCAATCATGCTACTCAAAGAATATTTTTAATGTGTTCTCTGTTCAGAAACTGTTCAAAAATGCTTTTTTCATCAGATGGCTTTGCAGTAGGTTGGCCAATGCACATCTTTATAAAATCTGAAAATTGTCTCATGCAAGCATTTTGAATTAGCAGATTACCCTGTGGCAGAGTATTCAGAAATATTTGGTCTTATGAGCTCTGACGCTGTGGGACATGGAGGTGGACCCTGGCTGTGCAGGTCATTGACATATGCCACCATCGGCTAGGCCTCTCCTCTGGCACAGTCCAATACTAAACACCATTTGTCTTTCTGCGTAATTTTTCCTATATCTTTCAGGGGCTGGTCAGATTCTTGGATTAATTTTTTAGATCTGTTCTGTAGATGAACAGAGGACTTCAGGCTGCAGGACTGCCGGTCCCAGCCTCTTACCACAAACTCACTTTGACTGTATTAACTGTTATACATTTGGTCTCTTTCAAAAGTGTTCTGAAGTCCATGTCTTTCTCTGATGTATTCTTTAAGCTCTTTGGTTTTTTTTTCCTGTCACTGGAGAACCTACTGCACTGAAGATCTTCCCTAATGATTTATTGTGCTACTTCTACATGGATGTTAAGGTAATTGCATTAGTTTCATCCAGAAGTTGCCTCTTCTTTTGGTGTTCAAGGTATTTACTAAGGTTCTCTTTCTCCTTTCTCTTCAACAAAGATCTAGATTCTCAGTGGTGATCTTTTTCAGTATCAGATCATGACACATCTGCAGAACATACCTCAACCACCGTGAGGGATAATACAGGAGGATTTTTCAAGGAAGTTCCGGGTTATCTCCTGAGGTCAGTACACCCCCAATCCTACCTGTCATACTGTTTTCCAAAACAGCTTCATTGACTTATACAATGTTATATGCCAATTATATTTTAATTTTTAAAAATGAAAAAGAAACAGCTTTATTAGGTATAATTCCCATAGGATACATATAAAATATACATTTTCATGGGTTTTAGTATATTCAGAGTTATGCAACCAAAACCTAACTTTACAATGTTTTCATCACCCCAACAAGAAACCCCATATCCAGTTACTCTCCATTACATCCAGAGCCCTAGCAACCACTGATCTTTCTACCTATCCCACACGTTTCCTATAAACGGGATCATACAATATGTGATCCTTTGCGACTGGCCTCTTTTACTTAGTGTTTTCAAGGTTCATTCGTGTGTAGCACGTATCAGTACTTCACTCCTTTTTACTGCCGAATGTTTTATTGTATAGATATACCACATTTTTTATTTACTTGTTTATCAGTTGGTGGGCATTTGGATTGTTTTGGGCTATTATGAAATAATGCTGCTATGAACATTTGTGTACACGTGTTTTGTAGACATGTGTTTTTAGTTTTGTTGGTTGAAACCTAGGAGTAAACCTGCTGAATCAAGTAACTATGTTTAACCTTTTGAGCAGCTGACAGTCCGTTTTCCAAAGCAGCTGCTCTATTTTCTGTTCCCACCAGCAATAGATGAGGGTTCCGATTTCTCCACATCTTCCCCATTAGTAGTTATCTCCCTTTTTGATTACAGCCATTCCAGTGCATGTGGTGGATGTGTAGTATCTCATTGTGGTTTTGATTTGCATTTCCCTGATGAATAATGGTGTTGAGTATTTTTTTTATGTACTAATTCAGTGGTTGGCAAACTGCGGCTCACGAGCCACATGCGGCTCTTTGGCCCCTTGAGTGTGGCCACGAAGTTTCAATCGCACTGTACGTGCGTGCCCGCACGTGGTATTTTGTGGAAGAGCCACACTCAAGGGGCCGCAGTTTGCCGACCACTGTGCTAATTGACCATTTCTTGTACTGGTTTTTGCTTCTTACAAAAACTGCTGACAAATCCAGAAACATTTTCAAAATACAGAGTATGTTTTTCAGTGCTAAGGAAATTGTTCCAGTGCAGCTTTTCTTTGCCCTCTGTGACGTGCCATGCTCCACGTTCTGATATTCTGCTGGAGTGTTGTACATACAGTTTGACTTGACTTTGGGCTGCCTGTCGTTGAGCCTAAGCTCAAAAAACACATGGAGACCTTGAAAATCTTTCAGGATAATGCTATAGTTAAGATTTTGCTAAAGCAAGTGTTCTTTCTAACTCCTTGAGCTGCATGTTGCCTTGTGTAATCATCATCCGGATTGTAACCTGTAAGAGAAAGTGAGATCTGGTCACTGTTTTACCTGGTTAATCAAGGTGCCGCTGTATGATTGTATTTGTTCAAGTTAAGAACCAATGCTGAGAATTCAAACTGCTGCGTATTAGAGAAGCCAAAAATCTAACAATCAGGAGTGCACGGTGTCTGACAGTCATACTTCCCAGACCCTCCTGCTGTAATATTTACAATATTTTCCTCTGTGTGTGTTGGGGGGAAGGGAGTGTTAAAGAGAAAAGTCAGGTGATGCTAGTGTAGAATGTAGATACTGATAGTAAAGATTGTAAAATTTTAAATAGTTAAGGAAGTGGAAAATCAGTAACATTAGAGCAATGATCAAGATATCTCATCTCGGTGCCATTTATATTCCAAGATGTCTACCAAACGTTTTTAAAAATTCACTGAACAATACAAAAAAGGGTCAGGGACTGTCGTTACTATGAGCTTGTTCTTACCTCGTCAGTGGCACTTTTGTTTCTTTTGAATTCTTCCCTTGCCCAGTCCTTCAGGTATTTGCGATCAGAATCCTTTGGAACTTGCCGAATGGCTTGCAAAATCCTTCTGTAGAGAAGGAGGACTTGCTGCCTTCTCACGAACTGTGCAGGGGAGGAGAGAGGGCCATTACAACCGCACCATTACAGCCCAGAGGGCTCCACTTTAGCAAACCAGAGTGTAACCACATCACTTCTCTTTGGTCCTTAGTTTTGAAAAGGACAAAGAAAAATCCTCTTTTATTTTTCTTTTAAGAAAACAAGTTTACTTGGGCTGTTTGTTTGCTCTGTCAAACGTAAGAGCCCTTAAAATCTAGAGCTGACTATTGGGCAGAAAAAGGGCTCCCAGAAGAAGAAACTATAACCACAACAGCACTTTTTCTAAGTTCAGGCAGTTGTGAGAATCCCCTGGTAACCTCATTTGCTCTTTTCCACGGATCAGTGTAACAGGCAGAGCAGTTCCCGAGGCGTCAGGGCTCCAGGAGATCAAGAGCCTGCCCTGCCTTTCTGTCCGACCAGACTGGTTTCTGCCTACACGGCCCCGCCCCTCCCTCCCCGCCCCCTCCCAGCCACACCTCACGGGGAAGCCCCGCCCCTCCGGCCCAGGCCCATCAGAGGGCGCGCGGGGTCACCGGCCCCAGTTGCTCCCCAGACGCACCCCGTAGGTTGGGTGCAGGGAGAGACGGAGAGTTGAGCTGAGACCTGGGGAAGCTGTCCCAGAGGCCCGGGAAAATAGCTGGTACCTGCTTTAGCGTTAGTGTCGCTGGGGGTAAGCGGGAAGTAGCCATGTCCTCCACGCCAGCCACAGTGCGCAGGAGCGGAAGTGGAGAGTGGGACGAGGGGGCGGGCCGCGTTCCGTTTCCTGGGAGACGCCTGCAGCTTGGGCGTCTGCCTGGAGAGCCGAGCTGTGGAATCAGCTTGTAGCCTGGGCACTTTGTTGTCTTGGCCCGAGTCTCCGGGTAAAAGGGGATGGCAGTTTGTCATAGGTGGTTGAGAATGGAGTGAGTGGAAAGGCATTTAGCACAGTTCCTGACACATGGTTATGAGTTTCATTAAATGGAAGTTCAGTTTTTTGGGGGGTGAGGGGGGAAATTATTCTGGTGTACTCTTTTTGAACTTTTTTACTAGTAATATATATAATTAGGAATGTTATAAGCTTAAATGTTAATTTATTTTAGAATTCGTGCCCTCTTCCTTTGTCTTTTCATTCTCATCCTGCCTTTTTTTTAAATTGCATTTTCCTGGCAGCGTGGTGGTCTTCACGAGGCTTTCAATGGCCGCCCCATTGCAGCTGTAAGAACTTTGTATCGCTAATAACAAGGAAATGCACATCCTGTGTCTTCATTTCCTCATAATTATTTTGCCCTCCCCACAACACACACACACAAGCATTTAGGTCATGTTACTATAAGGGGGTTAGTGAATCTTGGCTATATTTCTTTTCTAAATAGGGTTGTTCCAAATTAAAATACAACCAAACAGGATCATTCAATGATCTGTTTACTTGATGAACATTTACAAAAATGTCCCATTACCTGTTGCCTCGCTTTTTGGAATCCTTGATGCTTCCTTTCCAAATTGTGTTCTGGGTCTGTGAAGTGAGATGATAGCATCTCCCTCAGAGTCCTTGTGTGTATAATTCACTGAGAACAGGGTGTGGCACATATAAGCACTCTAATGGTGAGTTTTTTTTAACATTACCAGGCTTACCCCATGACCACTTTTTCAAAATTTGTGTACTAATTAGCAATAGCAATTCATTGACTTTTTTTTCTTTTAAATATTAGTGAAGTTTGCCCAGCCATTGTGGCTCAGTGGTTGAGCTATGAACCAGGAGCTTCCAGTTCAATTCCCGGGCAGGGCACATGGCTGGGTTGTGGGCTCCATCCCATGTGGGGCATGCAGGAGGCAGTTATCAATGATTCTCTCTCATCATTGAGTTTCTCTCTCTCTCTCTCCTCTCCCCTCGTCTCTGAAATCAATAAAAATACACTTAAATGTTAGTGAAGTTAAATACCCCTGACAACTTTTAGTTACACTTATTTTTTGAATTGTCATGACTTTGGTCCATTAATGCTGATTAAGACTTTTTTATGTAATTAATTCATTTACTTTTTAAATTAAATTCTTTATTGTTTAAGGACTTTATTCTAATCTTATGTGGGTTGTTTGCTTGTTTGTTTGTTTTTTAATTTGGTCCTTTATGTAGCTTTAAGTTTCTATACAATAATGTGTATTTTTTGAGGCTTTTCAATTTTTAAATTTTTTTTCATTGTTAATGTTTAAAATATTTACTCCATCTAGAATTTATTTTGATTCATGGCATGATATGGATGTTAAGTTCTTTTTCAGCTGCTAAACTATACTTTTGATACCATTTAATAGTTTATTCCTCTTCCTGGACTTTGCGATACCTATATGGTAAATTCTCTTAGGATTTGAATAATCTATTCAGGATTATTTCATCTGGGACTCATTTTTAATTTTTGTTGTGTTGTTTTTTATCTGGCAAGAAGACTCCTCTGTAGTTTCTTGCACAAATCTTATTAATCTTCTATACAACCTTTAGAAATATTTTCTATCATTTCCCTCCAAATCATCTTAGGATCTTTATTACAATTTTGACAGTGTTCAACCTATCCTTTCTATATAATAAAAGGCTAATATACAAATTGTCCCCTCAACCAGGAGTTCGACCAGGGTGGGGCCAGCCGGCCAACCGCCTGCAGCCCCTCCCCCTGGCTGGCCCCACCCCTGATTGCCCCCCCCCCCCCAGCCACCCCAATCAGGGCGGGCTGGCTGGACCCCATCCGTGCACGAATTTGTGCACTGGGCTCCTAGTAAATTAATGTGTGAGAACAGATATTTTTAGCCCATTTCTTCTTCTCATCAAGAAACATTCATGTTAGACACTGGTAATGCTGTCAAGAGTCATATATGCTCTCTCTTCTCAACCCCACGGTATGGGCAGGAAGACATGTAAGTCTAAGTGTTAGATGTCAAGGTTCATAATATGGGAGCTCATTCTTCCTGGAGGGCTTATCAGAGCAACATGTTTGTCAGAAAGGAAAGTAGGTAAGAGAATTCCCGAAAAGAATGTGTGGAACATGGGCAGATTTTAGGATCCCTGTAGTTTGTTGTGATAGATGGAATGGTGTGGTGGGGATACAGGGAGAGCAAGGCAGCAGTCAGGGCACCCTAATAATAAATGTCCTCTTCTCAGCGGGGCCCTCTGGAGGAACTTTTGAAAGATCTCCTTGGATGTTGTGAGTAGGATAAAGTGAAGCTAGCAGATTACTTTAGGATACTATTTAATACTCCAGGCTACAGATTTAAAAGAATTCCCACTACAGTGTCGTCAGAGGAGACAGGATAAGATAAACACCCAGAAGTTAGAGCAGACAAGACTGGGGTTTGGATGAAGAAAGAGAAGTAAGTAAGGCAGATGTAAAGACCGAGTAGCAGGTGAGTGTGAGAGGAAGCATGTCCTCGGAACCTTCTAAGTGACCTGTGCTTTGTACCCTGGGCCAGGGTCTGCCTGACCCCCACCCTGGTCCCTGATAGGTCTCCTGTGACTGCTCCCATGCTTCCTAACCCTTTCCCCATCACAGCACAGCTGAAAAGGGCACTCTTGGGTAGCTGCTTACTGGAATTCCTACTGTTCCAGACCCAATGAGCTGCTCCAGGGCTAAGGGACTCACTATCTTAGCAAACCAGCTGGGAAGCTCCAGTTTGAATGGTCTATCAATTAAAGGTATAGATGATAAACTACCGCATCACTGTCATAATGTTGTTTTTTCCCTACCAGATCCAACCCTGCTGGAAGAGTAAACTTCCTACCCCATAAATGGCTTTGGACATGAAATCTGAGTGGAAGAGATGTGTCCTTTTGGAACAGAATTTTTATGAGCCATTGTTTCCACCAACTCGCTATTTCTCCATCGCCACGAGGCCTGCAACTCACCTTCCGTGGACATAGAAACAAGTAAGAAATAAACCCTACTGTACAAAAAGCCACTGATGTGTGGGGTCATGTCAGTCTAGGTAGTGACAGCTGACTGGTCCAGCAGATAAGACCGTTCCCTTTGTACTTCTCTGTTGTATTCCATTAAGAATGATCACAAATTATATCACCACTGGTATATTTTTTAATAGTTTTCAGAATATAAGCTGCATAGCTTTTTAGAATAAAAAATAAATGATATAACATCAGGTACATGCTTTGGACTCTTGGTTAAACAAACAACAAGCAATCTGTGTTTTGTTGACCACCTCAAAAAGAGTGGCAAACTTCACAGTGTAACTTGATAACAGACATGGATATAGACAATTACATCATGGCATGTTGTTCACAAAACAACATTCTGACGGTCAGAACTTAAGTCGAACAGTTTCAAGTATTCAAGCACTGCTTTCTGGCCAAGTAAAAACTGCCTAAAAACCGTTGATGTATTTTGACTGGGGAAAAAAATAGATAGATGTAGCTTCTTAGTTCTTCTGGAGACAGCATATCTTTTCCAGAATAAAACTGGCTCAGTCCAGCTTGAAAGCAGTGTGAGGAATGATTCTTCCCCTTAACTGATAAGAAAAAAAGGAACTAAAGAAATAAATTACTACAACAGCAGGGACTATGGCACTGAGAGAATGAAATACACAAGGGGATAATCATCTTCCCATCATTGCATAGTCTCCCGAAGCAGCAAATGTGAAGGACACTGAAAAGCCACTTCATGTTTACTCAGCCCAGGGATCAGCTCCGCTTCCTGGAGCCCCCGGATGGCTGGGGCTTATGAGCACACATACAACCAGCCTCTTTCCCCAAAGAGGTGGTTCTTTTCACGGGAAGCACAGTAAGAAAACACACTCAGCCTCTGAGGACTGCAGCTGTCCCAGCCACTTGACAGCTTTTGGGTCCACACTGTGGGCTTGGCAAAGCCAAACCTTAGATTGGGGTCAAAAGCACAGCTCCCATCAGGCCTTTAGCCAAAGAACTGGCACAGCCCCAGGCTCCTGGCAGCACCTCCTCAAGGCAGGTGTCCAGGGTCCCTTCGAGGGAAAGCAGACAGCTGGGCCCACGGAGGGGCTGGCCTCCTCTCAGGCCAGGGCTTCCAAGACAGGCTGGCAGGGCAGTCTCTCAGGTACGAGACCAGACGCCTGCTGCTCCTTCGCTGCCCCACGTCTGTTTTGTGAACAATAGCTTAGGCCAAGGAACCCAAGTTTCCTCTGAAATCATGTCAAAATGTGCATTGCAATACATTTTTTTGTAGCTGAGTGAATTTTTATAAATCAGACCTAAGATAAAATATAACTTAGAGCTGCTAATTCAGAAGTGTCCAGAAAGGAGCACCTGGGCAAGAAGTAGCTCTTGACCGTGGTTTCAAGTCTCAACTTTGGACTATGTTCTTGCTGGCCTACAGGTGGTCAGAGGCTGTCACTAACTCAAACCACTGCCTGAGGGCATCGCTGAGCGTCTCGGGGAGTGCGTTCACGTCGCGAAGAATTATGTAGAAGGGGAATGGGAACTCCTCCATGTAGGATCGAATTTCAGGCAGCTCTCCAGGTCCTTTAAATATTGGCACTTTAATGTCCAAGATAGAATCCTGCCAACAGAAGACATTTTCAAATAAATCAGTGTCCTTGGCCAGCTCTTCCAGGCTCTCTCTCTCCAACATGTTTTAGGTCTCCTGTGTGTAATTCCTGCCTTTGAGAGTAGCTTTCATTACTAAGTAAAACAAAATTTTCAGAACTCATTGAGGAGGAAGGTCTTTCTAAGCACCCCTTCCAGAACAGGCACTGAAAGGGGGATAAGAAAACCCAATTTCCCTGTGACGGTGTGTCCCAT